AGGTCATCTCAAAACTCATAAATGCCTCTGTAAACATGACAAGATTAGGAAAGTTGAATCTATCTTCATTCTCTGCTTCGTAATAGTTTCAACTGCTATGTCTCAACAGATAACAAGCAAATTAAGTGAAATTGTAGCGGATTGCTACTTTTATAAAGCCTGACTACTCAGATATCTCTGTCGCAGAATCATCAACGTCTAGCTAGTCTCCCAGAACTAGCTTAGCTGTAGGCCAGCTATAGAGGAAACAGACGTATAATACGGGACACGTATATTCAGTCACGCAATGATAAGAAATACGAATTCAAGGTGACATTAACTTAAAGCTCGACCAAAGGAGAAATAGTAGCCAGTGGCACTCTCCAAAATAACAAACCGGCCAAGAATCGAATCCGTTGCTGAATTTAGACTACATACCGGGCAAGATATTCTGCCAAAGCACCTTCATAGATTAAGAGTAAGCACTAACCTAACATGCCCCCTATGTAACCTGCAAAACGTAATGGAGATGACCTACCTGAAACAGGCCCAGCTATAAACTAATGACGAAAACGCAGAGACACTGGGAAACCGGAAAACAGCAAATGAACGGCTATTTATGTACCCACCCACCTTTGAAAAAGCTGAGATCAACAAAGGGACTAATCATGAATATCAAAAAGCCCGCCATTTGAAACAATAATTATATTTTTTCATTTTGATATTATACTTTTAAATTTTTAAGTGTTGTGATAAAACCAGATCTAACAACGAAAGGTATTCTGTAGCCTATATAAAATGCATTACCACTACTTATCCATTTAAGTATAAATGAATAACAAATAATTGAAAATATACTCAATCCCTTCTTTTTTGATTCAAATGGCTAAATTTTGAAACGATACTTGGGTGTTAGAAAATTGATTTAACTAATAAATATGCTCATTAATTATGACTAATATTATCTAGTTCATTTAGCACTTTATACTTCAAGTTAGGAATTTGGGGGTATATTTTTTGCGACAGTGATGCTTGTATTTCACTTTATTAAATCTCAGGAGAGCATCCTTGATATTATTTGGTTGCTGAATAAACACGAAATAAAGTTCCGTTACTTAAAGTCATTGTGAGCATTTAGGATGTTTTTGCTTGAAGCTTCTTGCGTGTGATTTTCATTTCAATGACCACATCAGATGCGTTACAAAGGTGGTAGAGAATTATGACTTCTTATTTCAAAAACATTATCTTGAATAATTATTTATTCCATTTAATTGTAGATCGTTTTTGAAATGTAATATTTTTATTATCAGTTTTTATTTATATATTATTTATTTACCTTAGGAGCGTACAAAAAAATAAAAAATAGAAAAAAATAGAAAATTCCGTTTGTTATCAGTTGATAAAGAGGGGCCTCCCGAAAACATGATGCATGACCATACCTACGATTTTTACTCTATAATCAATACAAAAACAAAAAATAAGAAAAATTATCAATATTTAATTTTTTGCTTTGTCTGGAACTACGGCATAGTTGCAGAAACATTTTTTATAAAATGACGACTGTCTGAAGACAAAAACAATTTTGTGCCACTTTTTTTAACATTCTTCGATTTTAAAAAATAGTAATAATTAATATTTGAAAATGGCCGTAGTTACGGACATAGCCAAGTCCATAGAAAAGACTCACTTAAAATGTCCAGTTAATCGGTTTTGCAAAATTGGAGAAATCGTGGGTATCAGATTAAAAGAAAACAGTTTTAAGAAAAAGACCGTTTCAACTTTTAAGTGAGATTGTCCAAACTTTGACTTTCTGAACATCTCACACAAAACTATAGTATTAGGAGACTTCAACGCCCATTTCACCAGATGGGGTTACAAGGATACAAACATAGCTGGAAAGGAAATCGAAGGCATGCTAAACAGCAAACCTCTGGAACTTATTTACAGCAATGAGGATCCGGCTACATATTTGCACTACAATGGAACCAAAACAACTCAAGATTTACTCTTGGCTTCTAGCGACATCAGTGAGCATACACACAGCAAAATAATTGACGATCGTGGTTCTGGTCACAAACCAGTCATTGCTAGTATCACCATCGGCAGCAAAAGCATGTCAAGGAAAGTGCCAACTAATCTAACATGGAACTTCAAAAAGGCTGACTGGCCAAGATTCACTAACCTTTTAGACCCAATTCCTTGAGCCTAACAATATTCTTAGGAGTGAACAAGCAGATTTAAGGACACAAATAGGATACGTGTGGGGTGCTGGGGAGGCCAAAAGTACAGTTGGAGACCAAGCAACCCACCATTCTTGCACTCTCACTAGCCACTTCTTCCAACACATCAAAGATGCCATTGATGCAAGAAATATGGCTGTTTTCGTCGACTTCAAATCAGCATATGACTTAGTAAGGAAAGAAAAGCTAATTCTAAAATTGGCAAAGATTGGTATTAGGCATAAAATGCTTAACTGGATAAAAGCACTCATTGGACAAAGATCTTGTAAAGTCAGATAAGGAAATGCTCTATCAAAATCCAATCTTTAACAAACAGGTTGGAAATGCTCTATCAAAATCCAATCTTTTACAAACAGCTTAAATGCTCTATCAAAATCCAATCTTTAACAAACAGGTCTTCCACAGGGAACTGTCACAAGCTGCACTCTTTTCAATGTCTTCATCAATGACTTTGCCAAATTGGTACAGAGAGTCAAAGGGGTTAAGTGCTTACTTTACGCAGATGATCTGGTACTATGGTTTTCCGCCCCTACGAAAAACGCTCAGGAGAGGACAGAAAGTGCTTTAAATTGTGCACTTAAACTACTAGCAAACTGGTGCGATAACAATGGAAAGTAATCAACACTGCAAAAACTGCATTCCAAACTTTTTCTTTGGCCCATCAGAGCATAACCCGGATTCTAAGGTATAAGGATACTAACCTAGAAAAAAACCAATGAGTTCACTTACCTCTTAATGACGTTTGACACAAAGCTAACGTGGAAAAGTCAACGTGGAAAGAACCAATTTCCAAAAGAACAGAGAAAGACCCAAGAAAGAACCAATACGTTTAAACAGCAAATTGCTTACCGCCGACACCGAAATAGCTAACTACATTAGGTTCTATTCCCACAAGCAAAAGAAAAACCCTTTTGTCAGTGATTCCCATAAGCAAATAGCTAACTGCTTTGCGAGGTTCTATTCCCACAAGGACTAGAAAAACACTTTTGTCAGAAAATCTTCAAGAGATTTAAAGATACTTTGTCAGAAAATCTTCAAGAGATTTAAAGATACAAGTGAGACAGTTTGATGAAATTAAGGAAGAAACAACACCAAATAATGTACTCACTGAACCATGCCCACCTTGCAAACTTATTGCTGCAATAAAACAGCTCATGTGCAAGAAGTCTCCAGGCGAAGACGGTATACATCCAGAATTTCTAATTAGAATGAGACCAAAAGCCAAGGAAACCATGCTGACACTTTTCAACAAAATCTGGGAGACCAGTCTCGTACCTAACCAATGGAAAGTTGCCATAGTAATACCAGTACCAAAAAGAAAAAAAAAG